GAAGTACCCTATGAAGAATAAATGTCACTCAGCACTTGCACTGCTATGCAGGGCCTTGGTGGCTTGAGTCGGTACCATTAAAGATACAGCAGGGCTAAAAAGGCTGCATTGGTAGAATCATAATATGATCCTAAAATGACTCAAATTTCAAACCGCAAAACGGACACTAAATTAAAAATTCATATAATGCATATCATCTATTTGACAGTGTTCTCTGGTGATACTAATAGAATATATTTAATTTGGTGAAATTACAGGCACATGGGCCTTGTCAACTTATGTCTCAAGGTGACGGGCACAGTGGCAGTGCCCTGCAACTGTTATCGATAGGCGTGTCGCTTACTACCAGGCGCGCATCTTGTTCATCCCGTCGCTTGGTGTTATAAAAAGAAATAGAGGAGAGCTTGAGATACATCTTGAAATCTGTGTTGGATTCAGAAGTTGTTAAATATCGGATACTGGCTTCCGGAGCTGTTTACTAATACGGGCAGTAGTTATGCTTGTCGCACAATATTGTATACATGTATACAGGCATTATAACAAATAACAATATAAAAGCTGAGTTATTTATCGAGCTGAACAATAAACAATAGATACTAAATGCCAAAGTAATTCAGTAGAATCACAACTGTGAAGGCTGTGTTAAATATGAGCTGATTAGAATGTATATGTAAAATGAAAAGTGATTTTATAATCCCATCGAGAAAACAAGACCTTGTTTATGCACGGCTTCAGTGTAGAGTTTCATTTATGCTTCTTCTTGGAGTTCCTTTCCTGTTGGAGGTTGGGTTATGGCAAACCTGACTTTAATGGCTGCCGCTTTAAATAGCGACGTGGAACTGTAGCTGAATCATTCCTTCAGATTATTTAACCAGGAGTGTCGCTGTCTACCGCGACATTAGTTGTAGGCGGCGACTTTTTTACATTACGTATACAATAGGAGATATACGATGATTAGTGGACAAAGTTCATCGTCAAGTAGAATAAGACAGTAAAATTTACTCAGTTACTGCAAATACTCGTATATCAAATGTGGCAGTTAATGAGATGTACCCAATATACTACTTATATTAGAAAGGGGTAAACTAAACATAACGAGAACATTGTGTATTAAAACTATTTCTTTAATATCACTTCAGCAGTATGTAAAATGAGCGTAAACAAATACAAAGAAAAATTCTTCCGATACGAACCTTATCTTATTGCAATAATAAAAAAATATTTTTTTTTTATCCGATTGGACACGAATTAGTGTCTGTTGCCATGGTGAGGCAACTCTGGTTCTGGTGGCGGAATTT